TGTCAAGCTTCCAACATGTCAAATGTTCCACATTGTTCTTTGAACGCTTCTTTTGAAACATGCACTGAAAAGCATGGACAGACAAAATCCACCAAGACAGGAATGGTACAGTATTAAAACATTTTACTCGGACATGATACAACAAACAGAACAGATTCCGAATTAATGACACAAAAAAAACAATTTGCTTTCTTTCCCCAAAACACACAAAATAGTCAATCATTTCCACATGTATGCTGAAGTCAGAGATAAAAACGCGACAAAAAATAGACATGAGAAAAAGTAAACTTAAGATCCCACGTGTTATAACAGTTTCTGCATTTATTTAATACTCCTGAATACAGAAAGATTAATAGTGCGGTCAAAGGAGTCAAACACAACAAAGAAGCAGTGTATTTTGGCGGTAGTCAATGACAGGTAATCTCTAGATCTAAAGAAAACAGCTTCTCTTGATCAACATATCAACATCTGATCAAGTGAAAGTCTACCACCCTATGCCCCACCCAAAGCACTTCTCCCACTTTGAATGAATTCTCCTCCTCTGAGAGTGGCGTCTACCATGTTGAGTTGGCCCTCCCCTCAAGTTCATCCATGTAATGGGACACTATCCAGAGGCGTGACTTCAGCACGCAACTTTGAGATCAATGCATTGGCTCCACTTTTTTTTCTCAGCTGAAGCCAAGGTTTGCTGTCAGTGTCCAACGCATATTTTTCTACATAAACACACTCCTGTTTGCACTGGACACGGAACCGTGATCCAAATAGCAAAATTATCTGTACACGTTCCTAGCTTGTATCTCTGCCCTCTTGGCAATCAAAGCAAGGGCGACTCTTAGAAAAAGCACCAATGCACAGCAAAAGCACCATAGGGGCCACTGGCCTTCAAGTTCGCCCCCCTGACTAGTGCCTCCCCCCTTGCTTATAAAGGGGCCTTCTTTAGTGACAAGGCACAACACTCTGAATACTCTCAACAGTCAGCCATTGGACCTCAGCGTGGCACAGCACCAACGCTGGCCTTCACACCTGTTTGGCAGTGTTACATCACATGGTGGCACAAACCAACCAACCGCATGGGGTGTTTGATCATCACAGAGTTGACCTTTGCACCAGGGTGCCTATTAAATAAGTATTGCACCCGCTAGATACCAATACATGTCAGATTCACAGCCCCCAAAAGTTGAATAAAGAAGCATTTTTTTTTTAAAGCAAGTGATTTCAAAAGTAAGTTGGAGATACTTAATGTAAGAAAAGGTCCCCGCGTCTGCCTTGAGTGCACGCGGTCACGAGGGACACGCGTCTTTGGGCCGCAAGCCGGCAGTCTATCTCCAAGGTCTATCTCAACATAGTGACATATCAACACAGGCACATAAACATACTGTACAGGCAGTTTAAAAAAATCTTCTTCTCATAAACTGTCTGCCTGAACAACCTGAAAATGCTTAGCTTATAGAACCTGTATAGTTTTTATAGGGCTGTTATACGTATACTGTACTAAATCATCTCTGCTTATAGTTAAACTTAATTGTATAGGATAAGACACATCATAGCAAGGGATTCACTTTAAATGCACTGTTTTAGCATTAGAAGAGGCAAGTGAGTCATTTTGACTCAATATGAATTTAAAATTGAAATATCTCTACCATTTTTAAAGTCATGCCCCCCTCCGTCCTAAATAAGTATATGTAACACACGCATGTTAGAATTTCGATATCACAAACATAACTTGTGTTATAAGCAGTTTTAAAGAGGTCATGTCTTTTTCGGAGCGACAACTGACTTTTTCAAATCCTCCTACAGTCACATGCAGGTAAGACGTTTTGATTTCTATATAGTATCCCAAAATGGCTCTATTTCAAAATATCACTTTTCCAATAATAACCACACTTGAGCATGAGGCAACCGATAGCCTACAGTAACATAAACTAATGAAAATGGAATTTTGTTCTTTGAAATAATTTTTTTTTTGCCATTCTAATGTTACCCTATACCTCCATAAACACAACCAAAATATTATTTATCCGATAGCATATATGAAATTAATTTACTAGACTGTTGAATGTTGGGAGTCAAAATGACTCGACGCCAGGCTTTTCTAGTGTTAAGAAATGGGAGACTGAAAGGCGTTCATATTCAACTGAGGAAGCTTCAAAAACAACATGAGGGAATTGCACGAGGGGCTTTTGCCAGCGTCGTGACAAGATTATGGTTCACATTGGGGATGCACACATATAAGATAGTCTACCCTGTGGGAACTATTTCGTTAGACTGACCTCGAGTTCTACTCGCTAATTTTATTCTGCAGCCACTGATTCTGAAATCGTGATGCGACAAGCATTCTGTACATTCACAATCTGGACACTGAGGTACAGAACATGTGCATGTTCACATGCATAGACATACATAAACCGACAGGTATGTAAATAGTCTACAGTGCTCCCACTGCCTGTTCACAGGCTTGGAGTAGGCCACCCTGTTAGACAGGTATCATCCTACATATCCACATTACATGGGGGAGGTGTTCCTCTCTTGCCAGAAAGGGCTGACTGCAAGTGAATCTAGGGGATCGGCTGAAAAGAGTACAGCCGAGTGGGAATCCTATTTTAAGTAGACCTCAGTTTCAAGAGAGAAAAAGGTGGAGGTGTGTACTTGCACACTCTTAATTTTTTGTTTGTGTACTGTGTTTGTATTGGTGTAAACCAGAGGAGGCTGGTGGGAGGAGCTATAGGAGGACGGGCTCATTGTAATGGCTGGAATGGAATAAATGGAATGGTACCAAACACTAAAAACACATGGAAACAACGTGTTTGACTGCATTCCATTGAATGGGCGGCAGGTAGCCTAGCGGTTAAGACAGTTGGGCCACTAACCGTAAGGTTGCTGGTTCGAATCCCTGAGCCGACTAGGTGAAAAATATGTTGATGTGCCCTTGAGCAAGGCACTTAACCCTAATTGCTCCTGTAAGTAGCTCTGGATAAGAGCATGTTCTAAATGACTAAAATGTAAATTCCATTCCAGCCATTACAATGAGCACATCCTCCTATAGTGCCTACCACCAGTCTCCTCTGGTGTAAACCAGCAGATCTATAATTGTAAGACCACATGAGTTGTTTAGGACAGCTGAACTTCTGTCCAGTAAGTGATATAGCAACCTCTATTCTTCATCCTAATTTCTGTTCTGAATGGTAAATAACACCAATCTCCAAATATACTTCCTAAACGACCCACATATCTAAATCCTTCTATGCCCACAATATGGTCTCAATCTTTATGCATCCGCCAATATTGCTCACGTTGTGTGTAACGATGCTCTTTTAATATTTATGTTCAAAGTTTGTATCTAATGTGTTGACGTCTAGTTCTGTTATGGGGAGCTGGATCGGCCCCTGGTGCATAGCTTTGTGTAATACCAATTACAGTCGCAGTAGATGGCTGGCACGGTCATCAGCAAAAGCCAGCCAATCAGCTCCACAATAAACAGGCCGTATTGTCAGAGGCTGGCCAGCCTAAGGGGGCGGGGTCTATCACCCTGCCGACAGTTGCCCGAAAGAATACCATAACATCAAGAGTGACGGAACTACTAGCACAACTACTATCGACCTAATAGTTAGTGACAATGAGGTGGGTTTTTCAAGCTTAAAATCCAGTCTATTGGTAATATTTTTTTTTTTACAGTACATATTGAATGTGTACAAAATCTGTTCATATTGTAGCTCGTGCTATCGGGGCATACTTTTTGTTGTGTGTGCTAACATGCTCGCTAACCCCTGTGTTTTCCCTACTTTATGCACATATTGGGATTGCCCAGTCGTACTCTAGTGAAGGAGTAGATGTGTCATCTTATTTACATATTGTAAAAAGTTAACGGAAAGAGGCTGCAAGCACTGACTGACACAAGCTGAGGATTCAGAAGAGAAGTTGTAGGGGTATAGTAGACCAATAGAACAAGATATCCAACGATATCCTGGTTTCTTGAACGGACGGCCATTTCACAGAACGAAGCACAGCCATTAACACCTTGGCTCTTAAGAAGACATATGATGAGAGATGGGGAGAGGTTCGTTGTGGTTACCCCAGTTTCTTAAAGATGGGCAGATGGGGTTCTGCAACAAATGTTTACTTACACAGTAATGTTTCACAGAGTGCAAAAATGACCATTAGCAAGTAGAGGGTATCAAACAAAAGAAACATCTACAACAGCACCAATGAACGCAGTGCTCTTGAACAAGGTTGCACCTCCTGTGCCCAATGGCCCTTGTTTGGACTTAAAGAGACCAAACAACAAAATTCAACAAAAGAAAACATCTTACAAGTCAGTTTTTTTCTTTGAAAGCCTGGTGTGCGCTTTAAGAAGGGCCAAACAAAGTGCCCCCTCCTTGGATTTCAATGCCTTAAAAAGGTCTCATTTTATGAGTACAGTACTTCAGAATGAATTCAGCGCATTTAAGCATTAATAAAGCATAGTATTCAAATCACATTCGGATTGGTGAACTGATAGGGGCGTGTCTGCCTCCATTGGCTGTGTCCCGACCAATAGAAGCTGGGAAAGTTGGGTGACCGTTGATTGAAATATTACGCACCTGATCATGACGGGTTTGGGGTAAATCCAAGAGTAAGCCTCTCGTCATATCTATGCGCACAGTAATGTATCTGAATAACCTACGAACCCCACAATAAGCTGAGAGGTCTACCGGATTCGCAGAAGCGTTTACACTCAAAGCTTGAGACTACCAACTGAAGGCTAACTCATGATAATACTTGTATATGCGGTTAAAAAGGAGATATTTCCATGTGTCTTAACCCCTACTGTGAAAAAGTTGTTTCTGTGTGTGTTGGTAAAAGTGTGTTTTTAAGCTTGGAGGGGGGGGGGGTGATGGGTGAAGAAGGGGTGGTGGGGTTGGTGTGAGAGGGACGTCAAAACCAGCAGACACGGTGAAGCCCCAGAACAAGGGTGCCGGAACTAGAACCCCTGGTGCAAAAAGGACCAGGGCAGAACCTGGTTCCTAGGTTAGCTGGTGGGGCGCCTCTAGCATCTCCATGAGGAACGTGTCGATAGGGGTGTCGCCAATCAGCTTGAAGAAGAACAGGTGCTCCAGGCACTTCAGGCCAATGGAGCGCAGCGCTGGCAGCCGGAGGAGTAGCTTAGCGAACCTGGGGCGATGGGGAGAACGAGGGAGGTCAATCATGGCGGTGATGTGGGTGTATTGTGTGGATAGGTGCTATAGTGCGTGTGTTTATTTTGTACCTGCCCTGCTGGTCCGGGTATCTCTGCTTACAATAGGCCTCCAGCGATGCGTACACCTTCTCCCTCAGCAATTCCACTTCACTGGGGCTGGACAGGCCCTTGGCATCTGAACGCAGGAACAAACACAGGCATTATAGCACTGAGAATAATTAACGGGTGATTCTTCCTGACATCATGCTATATCTGGGCTGAAATGGCTTAAAATCGTTATCTTGTCTCAAATCATTATTTGAGCTGAAATGATTACCTGGGTTGAAAAGGATGATGGCTCGGAGGCAGCCGAGCTCTGTCTTATCCATCTGCATGTCTCTCATCTTACTGACCAGCTCGGTGAGAACTCTACAACCAGGGTCGAGGAGAGGGAGGTGTGACAGAGGGACAAGAGAACAGGAGGAGATGGGTTAGCATCTGCTCTAGGGCTCACTGCAGTTCCACTCAACGATGCAGCAGTCAAATAGAGAAATTAACAGAAGGGCAGGGGGCTGGGATACAAGTCTAACATCCTCTTTACACTATGCATTTACACGTTACACTATAACCACACATAATCTATACAATTCCATCCAAGCAATAGCCCAAACCACACTTTTCTTATTTATAAACTACTGCACATTGCACAAATGTTGCGTAATGCAATAATTCAATAAGGACAGAAAGAAAATGAAGGAAGGAAAGTATGCAGCCGGTGTTCTGTCAACGCTGCGCCAGCGACCAGTCGAGCCTGCGCTACGACAGAAAAGAGGAGAAACAGAACACAACACTCACTGAAACACGAACGACCCGCTCTTTTACCTGGGCAAATTACAGCACTTTCTTTGCCAGATTCTCTCACTCAACAACTGGGCCAAGAAAAGTTTTTTTTTGTGGCGTTGTTTAATTTGTTTTGTTTGTGTTCGTTGTCGATAGGGGAAGGTAGACGTGTAGTGATGTCATTACCTGTCAAATATGGCCCCAACCTCTGCATTGTGCGCACTCTCCCTGTGTATTCAATTACAATGTGTTATTACAATGTTATTACACAGTTACATTGTTATTACATTGTCCCCCCTGCGTTGGTTTGGGCCCAGAAGAACAGGTAGGTTAGACTCTGCAGTGCATTTTGGTGCCCAGTTCCACTTCTGGGAGTAACAAGCTACAGGCTCTTGTTGATGGAGACTTGGCCTGATGAAAATGTTTTAGATAGCACTATGGGAAGTAAAGCTTGAGGAATGACAGAAATATGCTAATGTACACAGCAATAAATAGATCTGAGACGTTTGAGCACAGACAAGATCTAGAGGAGAAAAATGTCATATTGGGTCAGATTGAAATAGGGCAAACAGTTCTATACAGTATTACTTATCTTGACTACTGTAGCGTCTTAGGCATACTTCATTGTACCCTCGATATAGAACTTCCTGGGTAAGTATGGATCATTAAAACAATTCTAAATGTAACTGGTTTATCCAAATCAGCACAAAAGGGTTATGGGTATTAGCATGAGCCAATGAGTAGAGCAGAGAAGCATAAGCCAATAGAGGAGCGTAATAAATAGTAATCAATAAAAGGAACAATGCAGTAATATGATCAGGGCAGTTTAATCATGTTAATCAAATCGATTTGGCATAAATCATAAATGAATGAAAGAAAATATTTTTTTTTTATGAAACAAAATAAAGAGACGTGAGGATAAAAAATGAGAATTGATTAATTTCTAAAAAATAAAAACATTCAGTGGACCACATTTACGCTTGGATGTCTAGATTGCGATGAATCTGAAACAAAAGCCTGCAACCAGTTAATCCAAGAGATGCTTAAGTTCGTGTGGGAATTGGGAGTCTAGCAGCTTACAAACTATTAATAACAATGTAATTATTGTGTAATAAACAATGAATTCACACCATGTGATGTGGCGACCCTATTGAGTTGGGTTGGGCAAGCCTGTTCCTTGACAGCTGTGATGAGCGCAGGATTTTACTCAAGACAGGTGCCATGCCGCTTGATTAAAGGCTATTTTATGCTACTGAATAAAATACTGACATCTGCCAATGTAAAATGGAATAGATGAGTGTGCAGTGTGTGTGGCTGTATTTGGGGTGGGGGGGGTTTATCCTAGTGAAATCAACAGTAACGTCTACAGTACATGAAGCATTAGTCCCCAGCGTTCTGGCATGCTGTGTCATTCTAGAGGCAGACTAAAGGCGTCAGCATGCTTCAGGTCGGCTGGCACCTAACCCAACTCGGCTAGCCGAACCGAACGAGTGTGCTTGCATACTCCCTTAAAAGACCTTCGCTAGAAAAATGAGGAAAAAAATACATTTTGTTACGCCGTAGCCAGTATACACTTCCTCAAAATAGTCAGAATTAATTGAAGATAACTCAAGAAATCTGTCATTCATTTTGACGTTTTTGCCGAAGAGATCTTATTCGCACAATATTTCATCTAACTAAGATGTTTGGTGCAGTATTTTTCAATGAAAAGATTTGCATGAAAACAAGTCGTCTCTTGTTGAATGACAACAAATACTTTATTGAAGAATCCCTACTGTTGACCAATTACCAACGAAGGGGCGTAGACTTCGTCTCTGAACTTCGGCTTGCATCCAGAAAAAATGCTGTGTGCTCGAACAGCCGAAAGAATCCTCACCATAGTCCAAAATGAACAAAAACTTCACAAAATGTAATCATAATATATGCACGAAACTCTACCGCAAGTTCTCCATTCTCCCTTTCGTCAGGAAAATTATTCAGCTCATTTCAACAAACTCATCTGGACTCTGAAGAGAAATGGCCATTTAATGAATAATAACTGTAACAGGGATAATTGGCCACCATTTTAATGCTTCAATGGATGACTATGACTGGAAAAATATGTTCTACAAAACACATGTATGGTAAAGTGTATACAGTGGGGAAAAAAAAGTTTTTAGTCAGCCACCAATTGTGCAAGTTCTCCCACTTAAAAAGATGAGAGAGGCCTGTAATTTTCATCATAGGTACACGTCAACTATGACAGACAAATTGAGATTTTTTTTCTCCAGAAAATCACATTGTAGGATTCTTAATGAATTTATTTGCAAATTATGGTGGAAAATAAGTATTTGGTCATCTACAAACAAGCAAGATTTCTGGCTCTCACAGACCTGTAACTTCTTCTTTAAGAGGCTCCTCTGTCCTCCACTCATTACCTGTATTAATGGCACCTGTTTGAACTTGTTATCAGTATAAAAGACACCTGTCCACAACCTCAAACAGTCACACTCCAAACTCCACTATGGCCAAGACCAAAGAGCTGTCAAAGGAAACCAGAAACAAAATTTTAGACCTGCACCAGGCTGGGAAGACAATCTGCAATAGGTAAGCAGCTTGGTTTGAAGAAATCAACTGTGGGAGCAATTATTAGGAAATGGAAGACATAAAAGACCACTGATAATCTCCCTCGATCTGGGGCTCCACGCAAGATCTCACCCGTGGGGTCAAAATGATCACAAGAACGGTAAGCAAAAATCCCAGAACCACACGGGGGGACCTAGTGAATGACCTGCAGAGAGCTGGGACCAAAGTAACAAAGCCTACCATCAGTAACACACTACGCCGCCAGGGACTCAAATCCTGCAGTGCCAGACGTGTCCCCCTGCTTAAGCCAGTACATGTCCAGGCCCGTCTGAAGTTTGCTAGAGTGCATTTGGATAATCCAGAAGAGGATTGGGAGAATGTCATATGGTCAGATGAAACCAAAATATAACTTTTTGGTAAAAACTCAACTCGTCGTGTTTGGAGGACAAAGAATGCTGAGTTGCATCCAAAGAACACCATACCTACTGTGAAGCATGGGGGTGGAAACATCATGCTTTGGGGCTGTTTTCTGCAATGGGACCAGGACGACTGATCCGTGTAAAGGAATGAATGGGGCCATGTATCATTTTGAGTGAAAACCTCCTTCCATCAGCAAGGGCATTGAAGATGAAACAAGGCTGGGTCTTTCAGCATGACAATGATCCCAAACACACCGCCCGGGCAACGAAGGAGTGGCTTCGTAAGAAGCATTTCAAGGTCCTGGAGTGGTCTAGCCAGTCTCCAGATCTCAACCCCATAGAAAATCTTTGGAGGGAGTTGAAAGTCCGTGTTGCCCAGCGACAGCCCCAAAACATCACTGCTCTAGAGGAGATCTGCATGGAGGAATGGGCCAAAATACCAGCAACAGTGTGTGAAAACCTTGAAGACTTACAGAAAACGTTTGACCTGTGTCATTGCCAACAAAGGGTATATAACAAATTATTGAGAAACTTTTGTTATTGACCAAATACTTATTTTCCACCATAATTTGCAAATAAATTCATAAAAAATCCTACAATGTGATTTTCTGATTTTGTTTTCTTCTCATTTTGTCTGTCATAGTTGACATGTACCTATGATGAAAATTACAGGCCTCTCTCATCTTTTTAAGTGGGAGAACTTGCACAATTGGTGGCTGACTAAATACTTTTTTTCCCCACTGTATATGATGGCGTGTATGATAAAATAAAATAAACTGCCATTCCAAAAACACTAAGTGTTGACTGTTAATTGAAAACTGAGCATAAAACCAATGCAGAATGCACCTTTTTTTCAATTATTCTCCCTGCAGTTTATAAGCTTCTCTTTGAAAATGAACATGTAAAAGGTTGCTTCTACGTGCTTCACCGAGGTCCATCGCACATGTGCATGTGCCTGTGTGTGTTACCTGTCGAAGATGGCTCCCACGCCAGCGCTGTGGGCACTGTTCCTGTGCACGTGCAGGCCGGTGGCCAATAGGATGCCGTCCTTCACGCTGATAGAGCGGTGAGAGAAGGAAGCGATCAGCAGCTCGTTCCAACCTGGAGAGAGACAGGGTTATCAGCCTATCCATGTAGTCCTGTGTACGGCTGGGATTTAATGAGGTCAAAGCTGAGCAGGGCCGTGTTCATTATGGGGCATGACAACAAAAAATAATAATGTTTTATTGGATATGTCCAGTTAGTCCCTCACTGTTTCAGTTTGCTTTCTTCCATTTGGTGCCGATGAACATGAAAGGCGAAGGCTTTTTGAGCATACCGGCACGTAGCAGGATGACCTGGTCGTCCAGGGCCAGCTCAGAGAAGTGGGGGATCCTCTTTGCCCACTCCACTAGGGTAAACAGCTGCTTGTCTGCAGCCTGGCAGATATTGGTGACTGGGTCGTTGGGCTGGAGAGAGAAACAGAGGGAGAGAGACTGGCTTCAACATAGGGCACAAAATAGAGACTGGAGACCTCTGGGTCACATTTAAACTAAGTAGGTTTGTGGTCTCAGAATATATTGTAATCACAATAAATTGTTGGCGCAGTCGCACAATCAAATGTCTAGAAATAATAATAGACAGTGTGAGGAACGGAGTATGAGAAGTTGGTATGTGTGCATCGCAGGGCCAGATGGTGTGTCACACAGACAAATTTACCGAGCTGCCCCCGGAGCTCCCGTCGGCATGCAGCTCAGTCTTCTGCTCCACGGCCATCTCGGCCTCCAGGATCTTTTCCACGGGCATCTCCTCGTTGACAGCGCTGGTCGACTCCACCTCGCTCTCCCGCTCCTTGTTCCTCTGGCGCTCTTCCTGCACGGCTGCAGGGGCACAGGAAGGGCAGAGGGAAGGAGAGAGGGAAGGAGGGGAGGATGAGAGGGGAAAGCAAGGGAGCAGCAGGGGGAGAAGGATGGAGGGTGAAAAGATAAAGAAAGAGCAGGAAAAGGCAATGAGATGAGAGCGAGAGCAAACGGGAAGCAAAGTGAAGAAGAAAAAGAACGGTGAGAGAGAAAGGTGGGGAAACAAAAAAAGGGAGGAGAAATAGGAAAGAATAAAGAGAGCAAGAAAAAAGTCAAGAAAGAGAGGAATGTGAAGTGAGTAAAGTAAAGAATGAGACAGGTAGAGAAAAGGAGACAGAGCGAGATACACAGATATGTACATTTCCCGGTTAGTTCAAACAACAATGCTATCTTTACCTTTCACACCAGGGGTCTCAAACTCAAGGCCTGGGGGCCACACCAGGCTCGCAAGCTGCTTTCTTGCGGCCCCAAGACTGATATCTGATTCCCATCAGCCCTCAAGAGAATTTTCCTATTAGAATCAACCCACAATAAGGTTTATCCCTATGGCACATTACAGGTTATATCTCTTTGGAGTCACCCCAGACCACATAAACTGGCACAACAATACCAGTCATCCGTGCACCACTATCAGAGAATGCAGTCCTACCTGCTACACAGAGCGTTGTTTTGAGAGCAGAGAGGAGCAGAGAGGGAGGAGCTTCTTTATTCTATTTTCCCTTAATGTATCGTGCCATATTCATTGATTATGCGTAAGTACAATAGCTTTGGTCCAGTCTTTTCGGAAGTACTCATTAAATAGTTGGTAGTGTTTTTACTAAATGATCCTCTAATTACACAAGTTGCTTTTGTTTACATTATGAACCTAGCTAGTCAACGTAGCTAGCTAGTAGTAGTAGCTTCTTGACTTCATAAATCTTAGTAAATTAACCAGTGGTGTAGTCGAGGCCATACGCAATCAAAATCAACTTTATTTCTCATTATTCCAATTCACAAGATAGAATGAACGCAGGCGTCAAGAATTGAACCTCTGCGATTCTAGAGCTTGCCATTGGACGTGACGCAATGCGAGCGCAACACGGGCAGTGAAGCAGATTTCATGGATTTCAAAGGAAGCATTTCCTCAATGGCTGATGGCAATGCCGTACGCCCGATGGCTATAGTATATCAGGGCCGTAAGACTTACGTTGCACCTGGTAATTTGAGTTTCAGACCCCTGTTTCATACCAATACATTTTGCAACATACCTCACACAGAAATGGACCATCATAACAAAACAACATAACATATTGTTGTTTTACCTCTTGACCAAATAAAACACTTGAAACATTTACAAACATTAGAATAGGATGATTGTTTCAAAGTCTTGTAGGCAAGAGAGCGACGTCTTTTGTGTGGTATGGTCCATTTCTGAGCACTGACATAAAACGACATAACAGGTACTCTGCACTATTCCCCCCACCAAATGAAATGCTATTCTCTCAATCTCTCTCTCACACCCATCCCTCCCTCCGTCCCTCCTTACATCTCTGTCGTTCATCTTGGACCACTACAGAAGAAGGGAGAGAGGAAACAAGAGGGGAGAGAGGGGGACAGGGGTTAGTGTTTACAAGGCTCTCCATCCCCCTCTCTCCAACTCTGTTTCTCGCTCTTTCCATCCCCTTTGAGTACAATCAATACTCTCCCCTTCGAAATTCATATTACAATATTCAAAGAAAATCTTAAACGCTCTTAGACATCTTTATTATACATAGATTATTTCAGTGGATTTAAAACAGCAATTGGAAATAGTTTTATAGCAAGTAGGCTATACAATCTTTTTGTCAACAATGTCAAACAGTGTTATTTCAGCAGGGCAACAGGATGGTTGGTGAGTGGGGATCATCTGGTTAAGGTACACAAGGTGCCCCATCCCTCTACTTTCTTAGTGTTCTTTCTGTAGCAAGTCAGACCCAATTTCAATAAGGATCCTAGCTCTCCCTCACTCTTTCTGTCTTTGTGCAGTCTCACTCTTCATATCCCTCATTGCATCCCTCTCTCCTTCCATTTCAAGCCATACCTTACCTGGTGATAGTGTTGCCCTTTAATAAGACATATTGAATGCTAGTTGAGGATAGCAGACTGCTGGGCTCTCCTTTACCTTCCCTCTTCATGCCACAGGCCAGGCACTTCTGGTAGCGGCAGTATTGGCAGCGGTTGCGCTGGCGCTTGTCCACCAGGCAGTCCTTGTTGTCCCGGCAGGTGTAGCTCAGGTCCTTGCGCACCGTGCGCTTGAAGAAACCCTTGCAGCCCTCGCAGCTGTGTACCCCGTAGTGCTTACCTAGAGAGAGAGAGAGAGAGAGAGAGAGAGAGAGAGAGAGAGAGAGAGAGAGAGAGAGAGAGAGAGAGAGAGAGAGAGAGAGAGAGAGAGAGAGAGAGAGAGAGAGAGAGAGAGAGAATGACAAGAAAGAGGAATGCAAAAAGACAGACAGAAATAGAGAGGGAATAGGGGGATAGCAAAAGGAGGAAAGGTTACATCAGCAACAAACCACTTTCAATAATTCAGGCACTAAGCCTAGAGCGCATAGTTCTTCAGGTGTGATGGTAATGAAAATACATGAAGTGTTTCGCTCCCTTATAGTAGAAACTGAACTGGTACAGACAAGGGAGAGATGGAAAAACAGTTCCCTGCTGTGTTGAAAAAATGTTATGCAGCTTTTTTTAAATTTTCTACACTATGGAAAGGAAAGGAGTAGTTCACCCCAAATCGAGGGTTATCTGACGTTTCCATACCATAAGGGTATAAGTCCATGCCATATGTTGTGTAGATCCATATGCACAGCAGAAATCTGAAGGTGTCAATCCCAAATTCATGGGAAAAATCGACACCACCTAACTAAATTCCATTCAACGCCTGTAAAATAAACAAAGCATATTGCACCACTAGTGCTTCTCGCTCAGATCCCCCCTGACACAGACCCTAAATCAACCCCTAGCCTGTCCTACAGATCGAAGAGTAAATATTTCAACTTCTCTTCTTACAGGCTGGGTGGGGTTGTCGCCATATTGCATACCCCATTCAATTAATCTCCGATCTCTACAAGTGCATAGGGTCTAGGGGCCGATTTGGGATTGGGCCTAAAGTTACCGGAGGAGCGGTCACCACAGATGGCACACAGGCGCTTTTGGGAGAGCATGGGGCCCCCTGGGCTGTGGCCCCCCAGCCCGAACGGAGGCTTCACGTCGTCCGAGCTGCTGACCGCATGGAGGCCCGACATGGACACTGTGGAGTTGATCTGGAGGCCGAGAGAAAAGGGGGATGGGATAGGGGAGGAGTGAGAGGGGAAATATTTCATTAAAAGGGGTAGGAGAGGAGAAGTCATTTATGCGTCACTGATAATGTCACGTAATGACAGCACATCACTCCTTAGTTTGATTATTTGGAGTCAGATGCAGAGCTGTCATATTTCAAGAAAAAAAACAAAAAACATCATCACTTTCATGCATCCAACAATCACATACATAACGGCAGTTATCTTTTTGAGTGGGCTGTTTGATCAGTATTAAAGCCACATTAAATTTCCCGTTCGCACATCCAGGCATCATTGGCGGAGAAAGGAGCATCTGGACCCCGCCTCCCTCGCCCTCAAAGCAATAGAGATTACAGAGCACTTCTCACCATCACCAGTTTAAGCAGTTAAGTCTCAGGGCATCCTCATAGCCGGATTAATTCATGAGGACGTTTGAGGAGAATCAGAGGCAAAAAGTGAAATGGGGGGAGGAGAAAGAGAAAAAGCAAGGGAGGGAGAGGAGGAGAAATAACACTGAAAAGGACCATCTGATGTGAGAGGAGATGGAGGGAATACAAATCAAAATAAAGAGAAAAGCAGAGGTGGTGATGGGGGGGGTCTTACCTCTGCACTCCTGGTATACATATTGATCTGTGAAGTAGAAAGAAAGGGATAAAGTAGAGGGCAGAAAGAGGGGTGGGTACACTCAGAGATGGACAGTCTGGGTATTTGTTTGGATATTCACTACTATGCTGTCACTACGAGCCCCTTGGACAAATCATTAAAAAAAAATATATATATTATTTTTTTAATCAACAATTTTTGCAGATGCAGATAAATTAAACGTATATTTAAAAACTGTACTTTGTGCATGTGAATGTATGGATTTTATGTATATCTTTCATGGAAATATTGCAGAATATGTTCCCTATTTTCTAGTCATATGCAGGAGGAGGACAGAGAGAGTTTGATCTTTTGATGTGTGGTTTTGATGGCAACCAATGATTCATCCACTGGCACCCTTGATCTAAAATGTCATCATTTAATCATTACTGAATTAATTTAATATTTTGTGAGGTTTTTAAAGTCAGAACGCATTCAAAGTGTACGACCGAGAGACAAACAGCCTACTTCTACCATACAATTAAGAACAGGGCAACATGTTTAAAAAGTACCCAAATAATGCTGTTTCATGGTTGATTTTGCAGACAAAAATATAATTGTTACCTGGAATTTTAAGAATCAAGGATTTACAATATCTAGATATGTATAGTTTCACGTTTGCCTTTGGTAGTTATACACAATTTCACTTTACCTATAGGGTTGGGAATTGCCAGGGACCTCAAGATACGACATTATCACGATGCTTAGCTGTCGACACGATATCTATTGCGATTCTATATGTATTGAGATTCGATACTGTGATTTTATTGCGATTCGATGTTCCAAACATACAGCTCACCATATGTCTGCTGCAGAGGGACAAGAGAGAGCCATGATAATACGAGTTTTGATCAGTCATGGAAATAAAAGTGGATGGAGAACAAGCTATGAAGGAAAAATACTTGAGTTTTGGTGCAGGTACAGCCAACTAGCGCAAAAATAATATTGCCAAAACTATATGATATATCATCAAAAATGATATCCCGATATTTAACTATTGATTTTTCACTATTGACCAATAACATATCACAGTATATTGCACATTTTAGGGGCTGTAAAATAGCAGCCAATTGTTTATTTACAATAAAAGTGAGCTCAACAAGTGATACTCTTCTCAACCAATCACCAAAGAGGCTGATGATACTGGCAGATACACGCATGTTGACTGCAGCCTATAAAGTCACACTTGGTTCACACAGGCCACTACTGTAAAGCAGCATTTATTGACCATGGCGCCAACTGCCCATCTCTGAATGGCCCTGAGAGGTGAAAGATGAGGCAGGAGAAGAGTGGTATAATAGAATAGTGTTAGCTACCTGTCGAACTCAGGGCTCACCTGGGGGCTGCTGATGGGGCCGTAGCCCACCGAGGGTGTCCCGGGCAGACATGGCGACCCCAGGGAGGAGCTGATGACGGAGAAGGGCGAGCCCATGCTGCTGATGGGGCTGTTGACGGCCGAGGTGATGGGCGGCAGAGACGTCATGGCGGCAGCTGTGGGGGTCAGGGGGGGTGAGCGCTGGCCCGAGGGAGGGGAGGACACAGAGGAGCTGTCTGGGCTGCGGGAATCTGGTGAGAAATGACAGGGATTATATGGCAGAGAGTGATGATACCCTACATACAACTCAAGTTTAAGAAAATAATGAATGATAGTTCCCCTAGCTACAATGAAGTTTGTTTTGTTTTTTGTGTGCTTAACTTTACAAGGGTTAGGCCCAGGGGTGTCAATTGGGTATGGCAGAGTATGGCAGTTGCAATACACTTGCTCAACATCAACTATTTAAAATAGGTCACTAAAATTGTTCTAATCCCGATTGAAAAGGCGAATTCAGTGTAGCGGTATCAGAGAGCTGGCTTCAGGACCATGCAGACGGCTCAGAACCAGGGCGGGAAAGTTGCTTTCGCGGCTGGCTACTCTGGGACAGCGCATCGATGCAGCTCTGCAGTGAACAGCGCAACTTTTCTCTCAAAACAGTGCAGAGGTGGAAGATGGCAGTATATGGCTCGTTAACTACTGTTTGACTTGACATGAAACTAGAGATTTTGAACCCGGTGCTGAGCTAGTGTGTAGCAGATAATTTCTGTAAGACTTGCCTGTGCTTAGCTCTATTCCGTTTCTTTTTATCCCAAAAAACTCCCTAGTCCTTGCCGATGACGAGCATACCCATAACATGTTGCAGCGACCACCATGCTTGAAAATATGAAGAGTGGTACTCAGTGATGGGTTGTGTTGGGTTTGCCCCAAACATAACACTTTGTATTCAGGACAAAAAGTTAATTTCTTGGTCAATTTTTAGTGCCTTGTTGCAAACAGGAGGCATGTTTTGGAACATTCTGTAAAGGCTCCCTTCATTTCACTGTAATTTATGTTAGTATTGTGGCGTAACTACAATGTTGTTGATCAACCCACAATTCTCCTATCATAGCCATTAAACTCTGTAACTGATTTAAAATCATTGTTGGCCTCATGGTGAAATCCCTGAGCGGTTTCCTTCCTCTCTGGCAACTGAGTTAGGAAGGGAGCCTGTATCTTTGTAGTGACTGGGTGTAATGATACACCATCCAAAGTGTAATTAATAACTGCACCATGATCAAAAGGGATATTCAATGTCTGTTTGTTTTTTTACCCATCTACCAATAGCTGCCATTCTTTGCGAACCATTGGATAACCTCCCCGGTCTTTGTTTTTTTTTATTTTTATTTTTATTTCACCTTTATTTAACCAGGTAAGCCAGTTGAGAACAGGTTCTCATTTACAACTGCGACCTGGCCAAGATAAAGCAAAGTTCCCCTAGCTACAATGTGGTTGAATCTGTGCTTGAAATTCACTGCTCGACTGAGGGACCTTACAGATAATTATGTGGGGTACAGCAATGGGGTAGTCATTTAAAAATCATGTTAAACACTATTATTTCACACAGAGTGAGTCCATGCAATTTACAGTGCATTCGGAAAGTATTCAGACCCTGTGACTTTTTCCACATTTTGTTACATTACAGCCTTGTTCTAAAATGGATTAAATAAATACAAATCCTCATGAATCTACACACAATATCCCATAATGACAAAGCGAAAACAGGTTTTTAGAACATTTCGCAAATGTATTAAAAAACAGAAATACCTTATTTACATAAGTATTCAGACCCTTTGCTATGAGACTCAAAATTGAGCTCAGGTGCGTCCTGTTTCCATTGATCATCCTTGAGATGTTTCTACAACTTGAATGGAGTCCACCTGTGATAAATTCAATTGATTGGACATGATTTGGAAAGGCACACACCAGTCTATATAATGTCCCACAGTCGACAGTGCATGTCAGAGCAAAAACCAAGCCATGAGGTCGAAGGAATTGTCCGTAGAGCTCTGAGACAGGATTGTGTCGAGGCAAAGATCTGGGGAAGGGTACCAAAAAATATCTGCAGCATTGAAGGTCCCCAAGAACACAGTGACCTCCATCATTCTTAAATGGAAGAAGTTTGGAACCACCAAGACTCTTCCTAGAGCTGGCCGCCCAGCCAAACTGAGCAATCGGGGAAGAAGGGCCTTGGTCAGGGAGGTGACCAAGAACCCGGTGGTCACTCTGACAGAGCTCCAGAGTTACTCTGTGGAGATGGGAGAACCTTCCAGAAGGACAACCATCTCTGCAGCGCTCCACCAATCAGGACTTTATGGTAGAGTGGCCAGACGGAAGCCACTCCTCAGTAAAAGGCACAAAGCCCGCTTGGAGTTTGCCAAAAGGCACCTAAAGGACTCTCAGACCATGAGAAACAAGATTCTCTGATATGATGAAACCACGATTGAACTCTTTGGCCTGAATGTCAAGCGTCACGTCTGGAGGAAACCTGGCACCATCCCTACGGTGCAGCATGGTGGTGGCAGCATCATGCTGTGGGGATGTTTTTCAGCGGCAGGAACTGGGAGATTAGTCAGGATCGAGGGAAAGATTAACGGAGCAAAGTACAGAGAGATCCTTGATGAAAGCGCTCTGGAGCAGGTTAAAAAACTCAGACTGGGGCTAAGGTTCACCTTCCAACAGGACAACAACCCTAAGCACACAGCCAAGACAACACAGGACTGGCTTTGGGACAAGTCTCTGAATGTCCTTGAGTGGCCAAGCCAGAGCCTGGACTTGAACCCGGTCGAACATCTCTGGAGAGACCTGAAAATAGCTGTGCAGCGACGCTCCCCATCCAACCTGAAAGAGGTTGAGAGGATCTGCAGAGAAGAATGAGAGAAACTTCCCAAATACAGGTGTGCCAAGCTTGTAGCGTCATCCCCAAAAAGACTCCAGGCTGTGATCGCTGCCAAAGTTGCTTCAACAAAGTACTGAGTAAAGGGTCTGAATACTTATGTAAATGTGATATTTCAGTTTTAAATTTGTAATAAATGTGCATAAATGTATAAAAACCTGTTTTTGCTTTGTCATTATGGGGTATTGTGTGTCGATTGATGAGGGAAAAAAACTATTCAATCAATTTTAGAATAAGGATGTAACGTAACAATGTGGAAAAAGTCAAGGGGTCTGAATACTTTCCGAATGCACTGTATGTGACTTGTTAAGCACATTTTTACTCCTGAACTTATTTAGGCTTGCCAAAACAAAAGGGTTGAATACTTGACTCAAGACATTTCAGACGTATTTATTTTTAATTTGGAAACTTCTAAAAACAAAATTCCACTGACATTATAGGGTATTGTGTGTAGATCCGTGACAACAAATCTAAATGTAATCCATTTTAAATTCAGGCTGTAACACAAAATTTGGAAAAAGTCAAAAGGGGGGTGGGGGGGGATACTTTCTGAAGGCACTGTGAGGTAGAAAAGAAAACAGCAACAATGAATAGTAGAAGTAGAAATAAAAATCACAATACATCAAACCATTACCTATTAATACAAAAGACAGACTTTAAGCAGATTAAGCGATCAAACATTAAAAGCTAGCTTGAATAGGTAGGTCTTTAGTTGTGTTTTAAACACAGAAATTGTGTAGGGCCACATGCTGCACAGGTTTGTAACTGGTGTGACCAGGCTGTTTGAGTTTGATGATCATAGTGTGGGTGCTGGGGAATAGTTCTCTAGAAGTTGGCATATGTATTTAGGTGCATCATCGTTGAGGGCCTTAAAAAGGTGAGCAGCAAGAATCTTATATTTGATCCTGTATTGAACAGGAAGCCAATGGAGGTTGAATAAACAGGGTAGTCTGATTAATCCGGTTGTAATAAGCAATTCATCGGTATATACAGCCTGAAACTAATGACTGCAAAATCATGTACATGTTCCTTACAAGCCAGAATGTTGCGTGCATCACGTTTGCTCATGACCGAAGGCACGTGCACAAGACGGAAGTACATGCAATTCAGGCATACTAACTGAAGTCAAGTTTCAAGTTTTGTTAGTCGTATGTACGGGATACACATGGTATACACCATCGAACTAAATGCTTACTTGCAGGTTCCTTCTCAACAATAAAAAATAAGAAAATATAAGAATAAGAACAGAGTAAATGGCTCAGTAGAGTAGAATAAACATTTTAGCATAAGTTAATACAGTATTTAACAATCATAATAAGAGTCTGGTAGCAGCAGTTGTGATGTGTGTGTGTGCGCGCGCGCGCGAGCATGTGTGCCAAGGTGCGGAGCGTCAGCGCAGGTAGTCACTCACTAACTGTAAGTCGCTCTGGATAAGAGCGTCTGCTAAATTACTAAAATGTAAATGTGGTCAGTCCAGTTCAAGTGTTCAGCAGTCTGATGATTGCTTGTAAATGTTAACTGTCTCTGAGCCTTTTGATATCAGACCTCATGCTCCGATACCATCTTCCCGACAGTCGGGAGTGAACAGCTCGTGGCTGGGATGTGATGATGCTGCAGGCCTTCCTCAGGCACCGTTTTGAGTAGATGTCCTGGATAGCTGGGAGCAAGGTTCCAGTGATCTACTGGTGTTTACATGGTTTTGCGCATGTGCCAGGTGATAGAAATGTCAACTTCAGTACCGGGCGCTCTAAAAGGTTGAGTAAACAATACTTTCTTGTGGATATTTTGTGTCAAATTTCGACCTGAAGGACCAACACCACAGAAAACTAATTGGTAGAGTAATTTAAAATATAATTTTATTCAACATTCTGGCTTGTAAGGAACATTTACACGATTTTGCAGTCATTCGTTTCAAGCTGTAACGTTATATACCAATAAGTGTGTATTACAGACTGATTAATCTGACTAAAACTGGGGTGATATAGTTTTTTGTGTAGTTTGTGAGAGCATCCTGGTAGCTATAGCCAACTAGGCTATTCAGTTAGGTAGCTTAGTAACTTGTTATGCCTTGAGCCAATGCAAATATTGTCAACAAGCATCTCTAATGCACCAACTATAGTTGACCACTGCAGCTGGAACATAAAGACAAAATGCTTAAGTGTCTTGATAGTTAGCGAACTTCATTCGAAAACACCAGTGGTGTCATTTTCTTACCTCTGCTGTCACCCATTACTGCCTCCGTGGTGGAAAAGACGTGCTGGGACACCGATAGACGTGCTTCAATCACACTCCGCTATCTAACTCAAGACCGCGGACTGGGGTGAAAAAAATTCAACAAAAAATATCATGAAATGACAGACGCAAACGTCAACATTTGGCATCAGGCCCGTGCGTTTGACAGCCAATGTTTTCCTAACATATAAACACCCATTTGTTTTTTGTGTGCATTTTGGCCAAGAAGAAGCATGTCGTTTGCTGGCTAGCTAGCCTAGCCCGAATGGCAAAGCAAGCTAATAACAAACCACGTAGCTAGCTAACGTGAAATATCTAAAATGACTAGCTACCTAGATTGTGACAAACGCTGAGTCAACAAAATTGTGGCCTATAGACAGTGCAGCCACAGCTAGAAGAAGGAGGTTTTGTATCATTCGTGCAGCTAGCCACCGTTTGCAACCAAGCTACCTGGCGTAGTGCAACAACCGACCAGAGAAAACTCACAAGTGATAGTTGGTCAGTTTGGAAACAATTTAACATACTAGCTATATATTACCCCAACAGTAAGATATAACAATAATGCTAAAACAAACTATGCTATGCATCAACAATAATTATACCTAACTACTAACGTTTTTAACAGTGCGGTTTCTTCGCATGAAAAGATGTGGGCAGGCCCCGAGTTCTTCCTCTCTTCTCTCCCCACTTTGCCTCGCCGTCAGCCCTCCCTTTCCCTGTACAGCACTTCTGCCTGTGGTTGACGGAGTAGCTACTGTACCAAAGACAGTACAGTTTGAAGAGGTTTCTGCATTATGATGCATTTACATGACACTTGAACATTCTATGGCAGCCATGTTAGCTCCTAATTAACATTACATGTGGAATATAAAAAAATTACTATAAAACTGAATGTCTATAATGAGCATTATGATGCACACTACAACATGCAGCCATGTTCCCCATAAACATTACATGGGGATTATTTAAACAATGTTATGTAACTGAATGTCTAGAATAAGAACCGTATTCAAAATTCTAAATGTTGGCCTAACTCTAAATACACTGAACAAAAATATAAAAACAACATGCAACAATTTTAAATATGTTACAGTTCATATATGGAAATCAGTCATTTGAAATAAATGAATTAGTCCCTAATCTATGGATTTCACGACTGGGAATACAGATATGCATATGTTGGTCACAAGATGCCTTAAAAAAAAAAGGTAGGGCTGTGGATCATCAAACCAGTCAGTATCTGGTGTGACCACCATTTGCCTCATGCAGCGTACACTTCGCATAGAGTTATCAGGCTGTTGATTGTGGCCTGTGGAACGTTGTCCCACTCCTCTTCAAAGGCTGTGCGAAGTTGAGGGAACTGGATCACGCTGTCGTACACGTTGATCCAGAGCATCCCAAACATGCTCAATGGGTGACATGTCTGGTTAGTATGCAGGTCATGGAAGAACTGGGACATTTTCAGCTTCCAGGAATTGTGTACAGATCTTTGCGACATGGGGCTGTGCATTATCATGCTGAAACATGAGGTGATGGCGGCAGATGAATGGCACTACAATGGGCCTCAGGATCTCGTCACGGTATCTCTGTGCATTCAAATTGCTATCAAAAAATGCAATTGTGTTCGTTGTCAGTAGCTTATGCCTGCCCGTACCATAACCCCACCGCCACTATGGGGCACTCTGTTCACAACATTGACATCAGCAAACCGCTCGCCCACACGAAGCCATACACGCCGTCTGTCATCTGCCCGGTACAGTTGAAACCGGGAAGAGCACATTTCTCCTGCGTGCCAGTGGCCATCGAAGGTGAGCATTTGCCCACTGAAGTCGGTTACGACGTCAAACTGCAGTCAGGTCAAGACCCTGGTGAGGAAGACGAGCATGCAGATGAGCTTCCCTGAGATGGTTTCTGACAGTTTGTGCAGAAATTCTTCAGTTGTGCGAACCCAGTTTCATCAGCATATTGTCCCCAGCACAAGATGCACCTGTGTAATGATCATGCTGTTTAAACAGCTTCTTGATATGCCTCACCTGTCAGGTGGATGGATATTCTTGGCAAAGGAGAAATGCTCACTAACAGGGATGTAAACAAATTTATGCACAACATTTTAGAGAAATAAGCTTTTTGTGAGTATGGAACATTTCTGGGATCTTTTATTTCAGCTCATGAAACATGGGACCAACACTTTACATGTTGATTAATATTTTTGTTCAGTGTATATGGTTTTGGGCAGAAACTGCTTCTCCAATAGACTGGTTAGCTGGTTAGCAACAAAACCGACGTGTGTGCAAATTGGGCAAAACAGACAAGGTGCACCTGATTGTTGACAACATGTAACTTTATTTAGTCTCCAATGTTTATTGAAAACATACATTTGCACAATGAGCATTTGTCTCTCAAACACATCGTTATAGTTGTTGATTAGCTAGCAAGCGAATTTGAACCATATTAGCATAGATGTGACATCAGTCAAAACACCTAAAAACAAGACATTGTATCAAGAACAAGATCAAACTAGAGGGTAACTTTACAAGGACAGATGTGGGGCTTGCTTTAATTCTTTAAAAGTATTTTTGTGGTAATGGAAAAGTGTAATACGTTTTACTATGCAATTTATAGCAAAGCAGTGACATACACGGAGTGTACAAAATATTAGGAACACCTGCACTTTCCATGACATTGACTGACCAGTTGATTCCAGGTGAAAGCTATGCTCCCTTATTGATGTAACTTGTTAAATCCACTTCAATCCGTGTAGATGAAGGGAGGAGACAGGTTATTGAAGGATTTTTAAGCCGTGAGACAATTGAGACATGGATTGTGTATGTGTGCCATTCAGAGGGTAAATGGGCAAGACAAAAGTTTGAAGTTCCTTTGAACAGGGTATAGTAGTAGGTGCCAGGCGCACTGGCTTGAGTGGTCAAGAACTGCGACGCTGATGGGTTTTTCACACTCAACAGTTTCCCCATGTGTATCAAGAATGGTCCACCACCCAAAGGACATCCCGCCAACTTGACACAACTGTGGGAAGCATTGGAGTCAACATGGGCCAGCATCCCAGTGGAATGCTTTCCGACACCTTGTAGAGTCTATGCCCCAAATAATTGAGGCGGTTCTGAGGACAAAAGGGGGTGCAACTCAATATTAGGAAGGTGTTCCTAATGTTTTGTACACTGTGTATATTATAAGAATATGGCCACACTTAGCCTGTGTCTTATATTGTTTGTGATCAGTTGTTCGTTTTCCCCCCAATATCTAGCCTAGGTTGGATTACAGGCTAATCAAGTATTGTATTGCTTGTATTTTTCATGTTCTCTTGCATTATCTAATGAGAAACAGGGACCCAGTAAAATATCATTTGAAACATTGTGAGAGAATCTGAATTGTTTAATGAAACGTCAAGAAAACACAAAGTAACTAAAATTCCACCACACTCTTCACCCCCTCTCTTACTAAATCTCCCACCCACCACTTTAACATTAGTCCTTTACTTGGTCCCTCTGATTAAAAGGTCTGATTCCAAATCAAGCCAGTGCACCCAACTATAGGCCAATGTTGACAACTTGAAGCATCTGATAAGACTGTCGATGTAAGGAATACATTGGAAGGAAACAACCTACTTATCAGATGCCTAGGTAAAGCAGCTTACTATACAATATAGACAATACAAACAGTTTCAAATACACAACAAAAAAGTCAGCAAGGTAATGGAGATAGCAGCATGGGGTCGGTTTGGAATCAGGCCAGAGATGCAGTCGTGTACATACAGAATGGTGTAGGGTGAGGGAGCTCTTTCTAACCACATAACAGTTACAGCGTTGATTGTCTTAATGGCACATAAGGCCTACTGTATTATTCAAGAGAGGAGGGAGAGCAGACACATTCGGTGCCGGTTTGAGTACTGTAAGCAAAGGAATGTGTGTGAATAAAAAAAGAATAGTACGCGTGAATAAAAATAAATGTTACAATTCAACAAAACCTGCCGCAGCGGCTTATAAAGACTAAATAAAAGTGGAAGAGGGTTCATCATTCACTTGTTCAAAGGTAGGTCAAACATGACTGACACATTACAATGAATTAGGGTGGAATACATTTTTGTTTTGATGGACCATGTCTATTTCCCCGATTCCTGTCACTCTGGATAATCGGTTTAGTTTCCACATGGCTAGCCCGCCCTAAATACATTCATTTACTGTATTTCCACATTATGAAGGTAATTCATGTGGGTGGGGGGGGCGGGGGGGCACATTTAAAGCAATTAATTCACTACTTTAAAGCAAATCATACTCCAATGGTCCTCTAAGCACAGCTTACACCACTTACCTTTGATTAATATTTCAATTAATATGTATTGTCACATACTGGTACAACTCATGATTTACATACAAATTGAAAGCCTCCAACAGTTATGAAAACAGTTTAAAACAAGTGGCTAGGTCAGTAACTGCTGTGTACTGTAGACATCTAAAGCAGCTTATTCATGTTTCCCAATAAGTCCCATTCCAGAAGATGATGACATTTCAGAATAGTCTTGGCCTCATAAATGTCAAGTATCCAAGATGGCTGCTATTTGGGGACCTGGTTTATGGACTATAGGTTACAATATTATGCCCTTTTCATTTTATTGGAATGTTCTAGTTGTAGACTAATATACTCTGATCCAAATATACCCTTCATTTAAATCCAGGAAAATGTCCTAACCAGTTAACTGTCTAGTTCTTTTGTGTTCAATCTGTGATCTCTGCAAGTACAATTAAAGGCAAAAGTAAGCATTACAAATATTGGTGTGATTGCAATTCTTGATTTTAGTTTTAACTAATGGACAGATTCAATAGTTCACGGCAACTTAAATGTACATTGTTTTGGTTTGCCTTTTTGTGACCAAAAAGGGAATAAACTCTGCAATTATAATGGACGATGAACTACAACTCCCAAGTCATCTGCCTTGCTTGCCTAAGTCTCAGTTTGATGACCTATCTGATTTAGACATCCTCCAGTTGGTTAGGTGTTGAAATGCTACTCCCCATTCAAGTCCCCTTTGGAACATATAGTCCAGTCCTGTGAAAGCTCTGTCTGTCACTTCTCTTCTCTCTCTCTCTCTCGCTCTCGCTCTCTCCTTTAAACTCCATCGGTATCTTTCCCTCCAATCGTATAAATCCATCTCTCTCGTTCAGTCTCTGCTCCTCCCCTCTCCCTCTCTAAATCCCTCCCTCTCCCAATCCCTCCCTTTCTTATTGATGACTCGCTGTCTCACTCGTACTCGGCGATTAGCACCATCATGTAAATTCCAACCAGCATCGCCAGAATCTCCATCACTGATTGGCCCAGACTGGAGCGCCCAACCAGCAGCTCAGGCAGGACCGTCACCGTGGCGATGTACACAAAGCCACCCGCGGTGAATGGCAGGATCCAGGCTGTGGCGGCCGCGCCCACCCCTTCAGCCAATAGGGAGCAGGCTGTGCCGGCAAGAGCCCCCAAGGCTGTCAGCAGCTGTAGACACATGGCCTGATGGGAAAGAGGAAGTTGTCAATGGACATCTCTATACCTACAGAGACTTTCTCAGACAGGCTGTTTGAGCAGAAAAGACACACTAATCCTACTGCTGCCACAATGTCAATAGGCTTTGTGTTGTAGTCATGACAGACAACTTGTACCAAGCATGTTTCAGTACAGTCAAGAACATTTCAGTTTCCTGTGTGACATCAGTATGTGTAACATGAATCATTATGAAAAGCTGAAGCTTGTGCATTACCTTCTTCTTGGTGCAGCCAGACTGGACCAGAATGGCAAAATCGCCAATCTCGTGGGGCACCTCGTGCAGCAGGATGGTGAGAGTGGTGACTGTGCCTACTGCTGGGCCCACCAGGAATGATGCCCCGATGGCCAGCCCGTCAGTGAAATTGTGTGTGAAGTCAGCAGCCAGGTTCAGGTAGCCCGATACCTTGATATCTATATTGATAGGGACGTCAAACATTCAGCCTGCTGCACAGACCCAATGGACTCTAGTCTAGAGCGCCTGGTTAAATTGTACTTAGGAGCATTTGTTAACTCTCTCCATGGTAAAGTACAAAGAAATATACACTACCAGTCAAAGGTTTGGACTCACCTACTCATTCAAGGGTTTTTCTTTATTTTAACATTGTAGAATAATAGTGAAGACATCAAAACTATGAAATAACACATATGGAATCATGTAGTAACCAAAAAAGTGATAAACAAATCAAAATATATTTTATATTCACCTGGAATGCATATCAATTAACAGGTGTGCCTTCTTAAGTTAATTTGTGGAATTTCTTTCCTTTTTAATGTGTTTGAGCCAATCAGTTGTGTTGTGACAAGGTAGGGGGGTATACAGAAGATAGCCCTATTTGGTAAAAGACCAAGTCCATATTATGGCAAGAACAGCTCAAATAAGCAAGGAGAAACGACAGTCCATCATTACTTTAAGACATGAAGGTCAGTCAATCCGGAAAATTTCAAGAACTTTGAAAGTTTCTTCAAGTGCAGTTGCAAAAACCATCAAGCACTATGATGAAACTGGCTCTCATGAGGGCCAACACAGGAATGGAAGACCCAGAGTTACCTCTGCTGCAGAGGATAAGTTCATTAGAGTTACCAGCCTCAGAAATTGCAGCCCAAATAAATGTTTCATAGTTCAAGTCACAGACACATCTCAACATCAACTGTTCAGAGGGGACTGTGTGGATCAGGCCTTCATGGTCGAATTGCTGCAAAGAAACCACTACTAAAAGGACACCAATAAGAAGAAGAGACCTGCTTGGGCCAAGATAAACAAGCAATGGACATTAGACCGGTGGAAAGTTGTCCTTCGGTCTGGAGTCCAAATCTGAGATTTTTGGTGCCAACTGCCGTGTCTTTGTGAGATGCAGTGTGGGTGAACGGATGATCTCCGCATGTGTAGTTCCCACCGTAAAGCATGGAGCAGGACGTGTTATGGTGTGGGGGTGCTTTGTTGGTGACACTGTCTGATTTATTTAGAATTCAAGGCACACTTAACCAGCATGGCTACCACAGCATTCTGCAGCGATACGCCATCCCATCTGGATTGGGCTTAAATGGGACTATCATTTGTTTTTCAACAGGACAATGACCCAACACACCTCCAGGCTGTGTAAGGGCTATTTTACCAAGAAGAAGAGTAATGGAGTGCTGCATCAGATGACCTGGCCTCCACAATCCCCCGACCTCAACCCAATTGAGATGATTTGGGATGAGTCGGACAGCAGAGTGAAGGAAAAGCAGCCATCAAGGGCTCAGCATATGTGGGAACTCCTTCAAGACTGTTGGAAAAGCATTCCATGTGAAGCTGGTTGAGAGAATGCCAAGAGTGTGCAAAGCTGTCATCAAGGCAAAGGGTGGCTATTTGAAGAATCTCAAATATAAAATAGATTTTGATTTGTTTAACACTTTTTGGGTTACTACATGGTTCCTTATGTGTTATTTCATAGTTGTGATGTCTTCACTATTATTCTACAATGTAGAAAGTAGTACAAATAAAGAAAAGCCCTTGAATGAGTAGGTGTGTCCAAACTTTTGACTGGTACTGCATCTCATTGTTGTAAAAATGTGTGAGTGTGCTACATTTACTATCATATAAAAGTTTAGTCATCACGAATGCATTAAATCGATTGCTTTAAAAATATTAATATATTTGGTTTGGTACCGTTGATTTTGTTATACGTTGTTATACGTGCCGTCCCAGGACTTTTAAGCTCAAATGGCACAGACAATTTGGGGTGCTCTCTGTATAAAAGTTGATGGCCTTACGCCAATACACCAATTTGAGAGCCAAACTATCACTTAAATAACAGCCAACCCTTGTCAGTGTTGATATCTAGTGCTGAGTCATTTGTGCTTTTAGAGGTCTGTTCGATTTCGGTTCGCTAAAAACAAAAATCACGATTTACTGTTGCTATTATAAAAAATAAAAAACAGATGCACTATATGTGGGTTGAATGCTGTAACACAGAATAAAACAATTAATTAAAGTCCCATGATGGTAGTGACTGCCCATGACTGCTTATCCACGTATGAGCTACGTGGTTCTCTTTAGCTCAGCTGGTAGAGCACGGCGCTTGTAACGCCAAGGTAGTGGGTTCGATCCCCGGGACCACCCATACACAAAAAAAAATGTATGCACGCATGACTGTAAGTCGCTTTGGATAAAAGCATCTGCTAAATGGCATATTCTTTTATATTATTATTATCACGTCTTAACCATCAGTTATTCACATTACTTTAATCAAATATTTCAGTTGTGTATATTACTAGTTTTATTTAATGACTTATTTCATTCCAAGTCATCATCTCATCACTATAGAGCTGCTGCCTATGCTGTCTGACAAAAATCACTATTTTATTAGTTCTTCACAGTAAATAAGGCATACTTTTATGACTGCTGAATACCAACTATCAATCACTTAGATCATGCATTTTCAGGTAGAGATACCTTGCAAAGAAACTGCTCTCTATGTATCCGCTCTTGATAGCGCATTCGTCCGTCTCTTACATAGCAGGTGTAAAAGAAACAAGTTTAGCCTTGCAATGGATTATGGTCATTGTAGTTAGTTTAACGCACTAAACATGATAATTATGTAGAACATGTTGGAAACTACAACTCCCTACTACATCGCACAGTTCGGGCATGATCTGATTTATTTCTACAGAACCTGAAGCGCAATCTGCGCATTGAGCTCACAGAAAAAAATATCTACTAAAATCGAATTCAAATAACTGAACGGGCGTCGGTCAATTAGTTGATTAAAAACCGAAAAATATGGGGCCTCCCAAGTGTCACAGCGGTCTAAGGCACTGCATCGCAGTGCTAGAGGCGTTACTACAGACCCGGGTTCAATCCCGGGCTGTGCCACAACCGGCCGTGGCCGGGAGTCCCATAGGACGGCGCACAATTGGCCCAGCGTCGCCCGGGTTAGGGGAGGGTTTGGCCGGTGGAGCTTTGCTTAGCTCATCGCGCTCTAGCAACTCCTTGTGGCGGGCCGGGTGCCTGCAGGCTGACCCCGGTCGCCAGTTGAACAGTGTTTCCTCCGACACATTGGTGCGGCTGGCTTCCGGGTTAAGCTGGCGGGTGTTAAGGAGCGCAGTTAGGTGGGTCATGTTTCGGAGGACGCATGACTCCACCTTTGCCTCCCCCAAGCCTGTTGGGGAGTTGCAGCTATAAGACAAGATCGAAAATTGGGGAAAAAAAGGGTGTTGAAATAAAATCAACATAAAACAAATAATAATTGACATTTCGGTTAATCGCTCAGCACTATTGATATCCAATGCCGGGTCGTTTTAGTTAAACAAAGCAACTGATTTGTTTCTGCCCCGTTTCAGCAGCCTCCAGAATCTCGATCCGACATTCTACAATTTAGATGACACAACAAATTATCTTCTAACCAGTGATGTAAAAAATATTCTCAGATGTGTGCAGTTAAAAAAAATACAAGTAATCTGATCACTATTCTGGCACATGCATGTTATTTTTTTAGTATGTTTTATTAAAAATTGTTATGTTTACGTTTTCAATATATCAGGAACTGTTTAAGCATATTGGTTATTGATTTGGACACATTAAAACTGTGTTTTGACATTGGGCTATTTATCAAAACGTCTTGTCAACAGGAAGCAGCGACAGCATAATTTTCAACTTAAGTTTTAGGAATATAAATAGACCTTTCTACATACACTGCTCAAAAAAATCAAGGGAACACTTAAACAACACATCCTAGATCTGAATGAATGAAATAATCTTATTAAATACTTTTTTCTTTACATAGTTGAATGTGCTGACAACAACATCACACAAAAATTATCAATGGAAATCAAATGTATCAACCCATGGAGGTCTGGATTTGGAGTCACCCTCAAAATTAAAGTGGAAAACCACACTACAGGCTGATCCAACTTTGATGAAATGTCCTTAAAACAAGTCAAAATGAGGCTCAGTAGTGTGTGTGGCCTCCATGTGCCTGTATGACCTCCCTACAATGCCTGGGCATGCTCCTGATGAGGTGGCGGATGGTATCCTGAGGGATCTCCTCCCAGACCTGGACTAAAGCATCCGCCAACTCCTGGACAGTCTGTGGTGCAACGTGCCGTTGGTGGATGGAGCGAGACATGATGTCCCAGATGTGCTCAATTGGATTCAGGTCTGGGGAACGGGCGGTCCCCAGACCTGTCCAGGAGTTGGCGGATGCTTTAGTCCAGGTCTGGGAGGAGATCCCTCAGGATACCATCCGCCACCTCATCAGGAGCATGCCCAGGCATTGTATCAATGCCTTCCTCTTGCAGGAACTGCTGACACACTCCAGCCACATGAGGTCTAGCATTGTCTTGCATTAGGAGGAACCCAGGGCCAACCGCACCAGCATATGGTCTCACAAGGGGTCTGAGGATCTCATCTCGGTACCTAATGGCAGTCAGGCTACCTCTGGCGAGCACATGGAGGGCTGTGCGGCCCCCAAAAGAAATGCCACCCCACACCATGACTGACCCACCGCCAAACCGGTCATGCTGGAGGATGTTGCAGGCAGCAGAACGTTCTCCACGGCGTCTCCAGACTCTGTCACATGTGCTCAGTGTGAACCTGCTTTCATCTGTGAAGAGCACAGGGCGCCAGTGGCAAATTTGCCAATCTTGGTGTTCTCTGGCAAATGCCAAACGTCCTGCACGGTGTTGGGCTGTAAGCACAACCCCCACCTGTGGACGTCGGGCCCTCATACCACCCTCATGGAGTCTGTTTCTGACCGTTTGAGCAGACACATGCACATTTGTGGCCTGCTGGAGGTCATTTTGCAGGGCTCTGGCAGTGCTCCTCCTGCTCCTCCTTGCACAAATGCGGAGGTAGCGGTCCTGCTGCTGGGTTGTTGCCCTCCTACGGCCTCCTCCACGTCTCCTGATGTACTGGCCTGTCTCCTGGTAGCGCCTCCATGCTCTGGACACTACGTTGACAGACACAGCAAACCTTCTTGCCACAGCTCGCATTGATGTGCCATCCTGGATGAGCTGCACTACCTGAGCCACTTGTGTGGGTTGTAGACTCCGTCTCATGCTACCACTAGAGTGAAAGCACCGCCAGCATTCAAAAGTGACCAAAACATCAGCCAGGAAGCATAGGAACTGAGAAGGTCACCACCTGCAGAACCACTTCTTTATTGGGGGTGTCTTGCTAATTGCCTATAATTTCCACCTGTTGTCTATTCCATTTGCACAACAGCATGTGAAATGTATTGTCAATCAGTGTTGCTTCCTAAGTGGACAGTTTGATTTCACAGAAGTGTGATTGACTTGGAGTTACATTGTGTTGTTTAAGTGTTCCCTTTATTTTTTTGAGCAGTGTACATTTCCAATGGTATTGTAGTTAAATCAGGTTAAAAACTTCTGAATGAGTCTAAAAACACGCTGTGATCGATTTATTTTGATGTACCAGAAATCACCTAATATTGAGAAGGGAGAGTGGACAATAATCACAACATTGCAACAGTTGCATGCAACAACAGAGAAACTGTCTTGATGGGAGGCTGGTAACTGAAATGTTGTCATAAAGTAAATATTCTCCTGGAGCAAAATAGATTTTGAGATTTTAAAACAGCCATTTCAGTGAAGGCAATCTGCCCACTAAGAAATTAAGTGGCAATTATTCAACTCTTACCTGTAGTTTTCTCCTCCACTTCTTTTGGAGTCTTCTTCTCTTTGCTTCCTTTTTCATCTTTCTCACCCTCCTTTTTTTTCTCTCCATCACTCTCCTTTGCCTTAGGAGCAGCTGAAAATAGGATGCAAAATAAGAATGTTGTGCATAACTCTTTGGTGTACTGACCCTGCCTCATTCCAAAAGTAGAAGAGTAGCATCAAATCACCCAACCATACAGCAACTCTCAGCTAGAGGAAAATCTCATCAATGGCCAGATTTCAAAATTGACCCAGAGGTCAGGTTACGAAACCAACTAGCTAGCCTAATGATTTGGCTGCATTCGCTAGGTCTAGGGGTCCTAGGCCTAGTTAAATGGTCTGTAACTTGATTTAATGTGTGAATTTATGTGCGGACAGAGGTTGAGGACCATGTTGTATGGATGTGCCCAGGAGACACACTTTATCTGGTTTCAGGGCCAACTCTGTCCTGAGATCTGAGTCGGCCAGCCCATGCAGATTATCATTTGTTCATTGTGACAAAATAAATATATACAAAAACAAAAGTACAAAAAGGGCTGAACCAAAACTAAAGATAACAACAAAAAATTAACTGATTGCAGATCCCTCTTATCAAGGCTTCACTTCTTGGCTCCCGAGTGGCGCAGCGGTCTAAGGCACTGCATCTCAGTGCTTGAGGCATCACTACAGACCCCCTGGTTCGAGTCCAGGCTGTATCACAACCGGCCGTGATTGGGAGTCCCATAGGGCGGCGCACAATTGGCCCAGCGTCGTCCGGGTTTGGCTGGTGTAGGCCATCATTGTAAATAAGAATTTGTTCTTAACTGACTTGCCTAGTTAAATAAAGGTAAAATAAAATAAAAAATAGATAAAATTGGCAGCGCACCTGACCAACCAGCTGCTGCCCCTGGGGGTGGAGTGTGGTAGTGTAATTATGCTCCTAAGACCTAAACTAGGAGCGTTGGTTAAGAGCGTTGGGCCAGTAACAAAAAGGCTGCTGGTTCGAATCCCTGAACAGACTTGGTGAAAAATCTGTCGATGTCCCCTTAAGCAAAGCACTTACAGGAGCAATTAGGGTTAAGAGCATCTGCTAAATGACTCAAATGTAAATGTAACTACCTAACCTATTCCATACATGCATTGCAGAAGTGGTCAATAGGCAAAAAAATGCATTGCATACAGAGGGATAATTTCAAGGCATGTTGAGTTATGGTCAAAAAAGCTCATATTGAATGGATATAGCCTTGAAATAGCAGGGGCACATGCATCAATTCAAATTGTCATTCTGTTTTTCCCCGCGCTACAAACTCAAATCAAAATGTATTACCTACCCTGAGAGTGGGAGTGTCCGTGTCCATGTCCTCCCTTCAGGAGGCGAACAAATTTCTCCACCACCAGGAAGGCCACAATTCCAACGAGGACCCACAGCCCTACTGACATCATGTGACCATGGGCAGCACCTACAGGTGAGAAAAGAAACACGTCAGGGTCATGCTGTTTGCCAAAATGGGGCCAGACTCAAACAAATAATTAAAAAGTAGAAGAGATTGAGTCATTGTCATTTTGATTTGAATGTTAGATTTCTCAAAGCATGCAAAATACTGGTATCTAATGGATACGCTGGATAGTATGATGGTGATAGTAAATGTAGATATCATGATAGAGCTATACCATGTGAGTGGCCATGATCCTGTGATTCTTCACTGTCATGCGAGTGGCCGTGTCCCTCGTCTCCATGGTGAGAGTGAGGCTCTGTGAAAACAAGAAAGAAAGAGAGAAAGAAAAAGACAGACAGACATTCAGACACAGACAGAAAGAAACAGACAATGAATATCAGACAGGCATGACTACATCCTTTTAACTACAAACCAATAAAATCAGTATTTTTTTGCTCATTTTAGACGTTACATTTTCTTCACTGATTATTCTGTGTAAAGATGAAATCCAAGAATCATACCTAAAAATATTAATTATATCAATGCCAAAAACATTCAATAGACTAGATAGGCAATCAATTACTTTCACTTAATGAAGAAATCTACCATAACAACAATACTTGTGCGATACTATCACTAACCCAGGGCGTGAGGGATGAGGTGCAGGAAGGCGTCTCCCAGCAGGCCACCAGAGGCGAAGCTCAGGAGCACCTTCAGGAGGTTCTGGTGCTGGTCTGTATTGGACTGGACCGGGATCAGGAAGAGGATGAGGAAGGGAGCAGCACTGATCAGCAGAGTGGCACCGATGGCCTAATGGTAAGAACAGGAGAAAGAAACATAGACATAGAGGTCATAAGGGGGCACTTTAACAGTGTGTGAGCGTGCGTGCTTGTGTGTGGTAAGATAATCTCACACTTGATAAGGATGGCTGTGTTGAGTTCCAAGGGTATCAAACCAATCTAATCGACTTCATCAAATAAGGAAAGGCTATTCCCTGTCTACAAAGTACTTGGATTCCAAGCCTTTCAATAATTGAATGCCAAATAAATACATTCCAATTCAATTGACAGTACCTAAACAGTTGACCTCCTGACACGTGCTGACCAGAACATTTAAATAATGGTAAAACGGTGTCTAACAAACCTAATCCTGTTGAACATAGCAAATAAAAATGTAAACCTTAAAACAGAGACACATTTACACTGCAGTCAAAACCGACAAAGTTATTGGCAGTACACTGCTGTGAGGTTGTCTGGTCCAGTTGTCAAAGCCAAACTAGTCAATAGAATTATACACCAAACTTAGCAACAGACTCACTGGCAAAAGGGAAATGTTTGTTGAAAAGTGAAAGCAGCCATTTTGTTTGCTTGTGTACCTACAGTAGTGATCCGTTGAATCTGGAGAGATAGGTAGCCTATGTTTGCACAGGGACTTAACAGGAATGTCAGGAGGTTGTTGTAATGAACAGGAGGGATACTGACTGATAAAGATATGACATTTTGCATATGATTTTATTGAAGGTAGGCAATGACCACTAATGTTCATCTAAATGTAGCACAGGTTCTGGCCAAAAATAATGTATCAAATAGCCACAATAACACATTCATGTCCATTCATTTATGGCTCCAAGGTCTCCACTGACCATACCTGCATCCAGAGCTCCACTGTGTCCCTCTTCTCTCCCTCTGCCTCCCTCTTCACCCGCTCCCCTCCGTGGGTGTGCCCGTGTCCACTCTCCTCCTTGTGCTCATGAGCATGACCATGGTCGTGCTCATGTTCATGACCATGGTCATGTGCGTGACCGTGGTGCGACTCCTCTGCTGGGGGCAGGTTGGCCTCAGCACTCCACTTGCTCGCCCCCTGGTGCAGTTTCTGACCGCCATGGGAATGACCATGGCAACCGCCGCCCCCGTGCGAGTGTGCATGCCCGTGGTCATGAGAGTGACTGTGAGCAACAGTTAGCTGGGCGGCTAGCAACAGCACTGCTCCCGTGAACAGTGTTAACGCTAGCAGACGTCCATGGGCCATCATCTCACCTGTGACAGACACACAAAGGGAAAATCTATGGTTACAACAGGCTGCTATAGAACAGCAATACTAGCTTCATATATCAACTGCTTATTTTCTTTATATTGTGGGTAGTTACAGTGGATAGCTTTAGCTAGCTAGCTAGTTATTATGTAACAAATATTAGGCTCACTAACTAGCTAGACAAAAATTCACATTATCAACATTCCATTGACATCCCATCTGCTATACCTAACAGCATTCCCATGATGGCCCTCTGCTAAGGAAATAGGCGTACACTTTTCCAGGGGGATATAAGGAGTCAAACACTGAGGAAGAGAGAAAGGGTCCCAAATGGGGTTAATAGCCTAGCTATGAATGTGATTAAAGGAATGCAGGTGTCGCAGTTTAGATTTGCATGCAACGTCATTTGGCGGGATACTTATCTAACTAGCTACCTAGCAAAGTACAATAGCAAACAATGGGTACCTAGATAGGTAATTGGACTTGTTAGCGGTGATGACAACAATGTTGCAGTATAAACGAATTGCCCTACACCCACCTGTCTGCTGTAATTATGCACGGATAGACAGTCTGCAATGTTGCGGGTCAGGTGAAAATAGTTTATCAGACAAATTATTCCCAACAGAGTCTCAAAAGTGTCTATTCGTTCTCAGACGTGGCATTCAGTCAAATCAATAGAAACCTCGCGTGATTTCATTCGCTGGTGTTAATAAAGAGTACGTGTCATAATATCGCGAGACCTATATTTTCGTAATCTCATCCTGCAGGATGCGAACTCAAATACGGTGGATTAATGAACGTGTCCCGCTCTCCCTTAGGCACCAATGCATTAAGCAGTTGGTTCTGTTCTGCTTAGTTCATTGACTGTATATGAAGCATAAACATTTTGGGAGGGGGATGTTTCGCTTCCTCTTCCGTATCTGGCAGACTCTCTTTGACTACTATTTTTTTCAGGACAATTATTGCAAAGTTTACTTTGGAAAAGACAATGACCAATAATGGAATTATCTTATTTAGGGGAGGTTTACTTTAAACTGAGAGTGTGTTGTAGGTGTTTAGGGAAACTATTACAGTTTTAATGTATTTACATGTATTGCTCTCAGAGAATCCACACAAAGAATGGAAAAAATGTATGCCAAATTAAATGAAGCATTCTAGGCTACCCTTTTTACACTTGTACTATTAGAAATTGGAATATTTCACAATATCAGGACAGGAATACTGCATTTGATGTTGAAGTTTCCCTATGAAAAGCAATGGAATTCCAAGTAACAAGACAGGATGGAAATACTGTATCGCTCTCTTCAGGGACAGAGAAAAACAGGATTAGGATTACAGTTGAGCCATGCCCACGTTCATCTGCCATGTCTCTACACACTTTCCTCTTGTCCCATTTCCATACCTTGGTTCAACCCTGACCCCAGCCATAACCCTAACCATAGTTTCATGTCCACACCACAGGAGGCTGATGAGGGGAGAACAGCTCATAATAACAGAACGGTTCAAATGGAATGGAAACCATGTGTTTGATGTATTTGATACCATTCCATTAATTCCACCAACCTCCTGTGGTCTACACCCTGGCTCAACCCTAACCCTAGCAATAACCCCAACCTTAGCCCTAGCCTTATGTTCAACCCTAACCCTAGCAATAACCCCAACCTTAGCCCTAGCCTTATGTTCAACCCTAACCCTAGCAATAACCCCAACCTTAGCCCTAGCCTTATGTTCAACCCTAACCCTAGCAATAACCCCAACCTTAGCCCTAGCCTTATGTTCAACCCTAACCCTAGCAATAACCCCAACCTTAGCCCTAGCCTTATGTTCAACCCTAACCCTAATCTTGGTTCGTCATACTTTTATCCTACTTTTCTAAGGTGCTGGAGCTCAGCTCTGCCTGGCCCTCCTTTTAACCCAAGGTGCAGGAGTCTGGATCCGGAAAGCTGGGTCGTTCCACGACAATAGTGCCTTGATATTTCAAGTAGAAATTGTGCACCAATATTGCATTTTAAAAGTCTATTATATTAAATGAAGTGTCCTTTAATATAACCCACACATTTCTCCAAGTTTTCATCATCATTGTAAAGCCCTAGTTATTTTTGTTGCTTTGACAAAGTCATTTTTGAAGATTATTATTTATTTAGTGTAATTAGTGATTTATTTACATCTGTCCCTCATTTTAAGGTCAATCCTGTTAAGTGAACTGAACTCTCTTTTTAATATGGTGAAACTATTCCTTTTTCAATATTTTTCTAAAGAAACATTGAACATCTAATAATCAAACCATAGTGTAAAAGCAGGTGAGCTGGTTCTACTCTTTTGGCCCATTTTCTGGTGTTTTGTGGTGGAAAACTGAGCTGGTTGAGCATAACACGTCAACCCTGTTACCCATAGATAGACAGGCTAGAAATATTCTAACAATTTCATTTTTTTCTGTGAAGCTTGCATTCAATTGTTACTCCCTGTTGCACACAACAAGCTTCCATTCCCCCAATCAAAAGGGGATTTATGGCTGAATTAAGATTAAATCGTCAACCCTGTTACTACAGTGGGGAGAACAAGTATTTGATACACTGCCGATTTTGCAGGTTTTCCTACATACAAAGCATGTAGAGGTCTGTAATTTTTATCATAGGTACACTTCAACTGTGAGAGACGGAATCTAAAACAAAAATCCAGAAAATCACATTGTATGATTTTTAAGTAATTAATTTGCATTTTATTGCATGACAAAAGTATTTGATACATCAGAAAAGCAGAACTTAATATTTGGTACAGAAACCTTTGTTTGCAATTACAGAGATCATACGTTTCCTGTAGGTCTTGACCAGGTTTGCACACACTGCAGCAGGGATTTTGGCCCACTCCTCCATTCAGACGTTCTCCAGATCCTTCAGGTTTCGGGGCTGTCGCTGGGCAATATGGACTTTCAGCTCCCTCCAAAGATGTTCTATTGGGTTCAGGTCTGGAGACTGGCTAGGCCACTCCAGGACCTTGAGATGCTTCTTACGGAGCCACTCCTTAGTTGCCCTGGCTGTGTGTTTCGGGTCGTTGTCATGCTGGAAGACTCAGCCACGACCCATCTTCAATGCTCTTACTGAGGGAAGGAGGTTGTTGGCCAAGATCTCGCGATACATGGCCCCATCCATCCTCCCCTCAATACGGTGCAGTTGTCCTGTCCCCTTTGCAGAAAAGCATCCCCAAAGAAGGATGTTTCTACCTCCATGCTTCACGGTTGGGATGGTGTTCTTGGGGTTGTACTCATCCTTCTTCTTCCTCCAAACACGGCGAGTGGAGTTTAGACCAAAATGCTCTATTTTTGTCTCATCAGACCACATGACCTTCTCCCATTCCTCCTCTGGATCATCCAGATGGTCATTGGCAAACTTCAGATGGGCCTGGACATGCGCTGGCTTGAGCAGGGGGACCTTGCGTGCGCTGCAGGATTTTAATCCATGACGGCATTGTGTGTTACTAATGGTTTTCTTTGAGACTGTGGTCCCAGCTCTCTTCAGGTCATTGACCAAGTCCTGCCGTATAGTTCTGGGCTAATCCCTCACCTTCCTCATGATCATTGATGCCCCACGAGGTGAGATCTTGCATGGAGCCCCAGACCGAGGGTGATTGACCGTCATCTTGAACTTCTTCCATTTTCTAATAATTGCGCCAACAGTTGTTGCCTTCTCACCAAGCTGCTTGCCTATTGTGCTGTAGCCCATCCCAGCCTTGTGCAGGTCTACAATTGTATCCCTGATGTCCTTACACAGCTCTCTGGTCTTGGCCATTGTGGAGAGGTTGGAGTCTGTTTGATTGAGTGTGTGGACAGGTGTCTTTTATACAGGTAATGAGTTCAAACAGGTGCAGTTAATACAGGTAATGAGTGGAGAACAGGAGGGCTTCTTAAAGAAAAACTAACAGGTCTGTGAGAGCCGGAATTCTTACTGGTTGGTAGGTGATCAAATACTTATGTCATGCAATAAAATGCAAATGAATTACTTAAAAATCATACAATGTGATTTTCTGGATTTTAGATTCTGTCTCTCACAGTTGAAGTGTACCTATGATAAATATTACAGACCTCTACATGCTTTGTAAGTAGGAAAACCTGCAAAATCGGCAGTGTATCAAATACTTGTTCTCCCCACTGTATATTTGGCACTTAATAGGCACTACTATAGTCATATTTTTTTATTTAACCTCTTGAGATGGGAAAACTGGTTTTTTATCAGTTGAACATGTGCTTTATGACAGAATGTAAAAATTTTGTGAAATACAAAGTTTTTTTGATGAAGTTACACTTCTCAAAAGGCACTGAGTTGGTGGAATGGCCCAGCTCCAGTTCAATTTAAAGGTCCAATGAAGCAATTAAAAAAATTAATCTTAATATCAAATGATTTCTGAGTACCTTACTGTGATTGTTTTCAATTAAAATGGTCAAAAGGAAACAAAAATAGCTTCTTAGCAAAGAGCAATTTCTCAAGAAAGAATAGATAGGATTGTCTGGGAGTGGCCTGAGTGGTGTGGGGGAAACTGAAAAATATCTGTTATTGGCAGAGTTTGGAACTCTTTTTCTTATTGGTCTATTAACAAATGTACTGCCTGGTGAAGTCACCAGACAGGCCAAAACTCTCTCCCATCAAAACAGGCTGACATTTCAGGCGGTCATTTCAAACAGCTCTTACACTAAAAGGGCATTATCATAATTTTCACAATTTCACAGTATTATTCCAACCTCATAGTGTGGAAATATATATTTAAAACACAGAAAAATCGAGTTTTTGACTGTACTGGGCCTTTAACCACTGGATACAATATCCCTTAATTTGATATAACACAAGCCTATAGGAACAGAGATACATTTAATATAAGAGCGACAGATATTACATGCAAGATGCTGTTTATTCCATGCAAGGGAACTCGGTTGACCCCTAAACCCAAGGCGGGAAGGGAGGCCTATTGTATTGATGCAAATCAGGGGGACTAATTTAACATCCCACAAT